TAAAGATCTGCAGTCTGGGAGCTGAAGCCCCCCTAAGAGTCCTGTAGCATCCAGTCGAACTGAGAAGGCCAGAACTGATGGTTGTTGAATGACCTTTATTATTCCTTGCTGTGTATCAGACAACGAACCAACGTAAGAGGTAGACAAACAAATAAAACAATTACCATGTTATTTATGTAACACCATTTTAACCGCTCATTACGCTGGTCTAACCGTTTTCTATTAAACTATATAATACATATTATGCATTTCAGATTGCTCAAATTAAATCATGTACATTACAAACCTTGTTCCCCTGTCGACTGTAGCTAGAACCATTCATTTTTGTACAATTTAACCATGTTTTTCTCTCCCTTTTCTCCATTAGCATTAGTTTTCCGTTTTCTTCCATCTTTTTTGTACATCAAGTTGGTTACCGTTACATCATTCACTTCCGGTTACACAGGAAGTTACCAAAATAAAAGCACAAGCATTATATTACGCGTATATGAGTTAGCTTTACATATCCGCCATTACAGGTCCCAATCAGTCTCAGTCCACTGAACTCCACCAATGGGGCCAGGCCGTCAGCGTCCTCCAGTAGTGTCCTCCGCCACTCCGCTCTGCTTCCGCTAAACACAGTGAAGCAGGAGCACCCATCCTAACGTACCAGGGATGTCTCTATACATTTTTACAATGGGACTTACCCCACAAGTGCAGAGCTCTAAACCCCGCCCGCAGCTGCTCTGTGCCTAAAGCGTTTTAGCTGGCGTCTTGCTACCACCTGGACAAAGTCTGCCATCCATGCTTCCTATCATGTACAGCCCATCTCATCTGATCCATTCCACACTACTGATATGGCAGAGGAGTTCAGTAAGTCTGAGGAAGACGGCTCTCCACTATATCAGTAGTGTAAAATCGATTCAATAAATCTGTTTTGTGTGTGATGGGTGAGGATACCTATCAACTATAAGATTCCATGCACATATTTCTGTGTTATACCTTCGTGCAGCTGTTTCTCATATATACAGTGTCCATATCTGTCGTCCATAGGCATAGACTGGGCCCCGCAGTCTAATCGCATAGTGACATGTGCCTCCGACCGCAATGCCTATGTGTGGACCCTGAAGGATGGTGTCTGGAAACCTACCTTAGTCTTGGTACGCATCAACCGTGCAGCCACATGTGTGAAGTGGTCCCCACTGGAGAACAAGTTTGCCCTGGGCAGTGGAGCCCGTCTTATCTCTATCTGCTACTTCGAGCAGGAAAATGACTGGTGAGCAATATAAGATCTCATTTAAAAGACTTGTGTTTGGTACATAAGACGTGATGATGTTGATTTTTTGTTAGTATGATAGGAATGGTTCTAACATTCCTCCTCCACTTTAGGTGGCTGAGTAAGCACATCAAGAAGTCAATTTGCTCTACAGTGCTGAGTCTGGACTGGCATCCCAACAACATTCTCCTGGCAGCAGGGTCTGCAGACCTTCACTGCAGGTGAAACTACAACGAAACCTGTGGTCGATCTTTGCATGATGAAGACACACAATGACTGCATCTTTCTCACATATTTGCACTTCTTATTGCGACTTTCAAGCCTTTGAGTCGCCGAGCAGCTGAATAGGGGAATAATGTTGACGCGCCCGCTGTTTAAAACGTTAGTCAAAGTTCCA